AGTGTGTGTGTGTGTGTGTGAGAGAGAGAGAGAGAGTGTGTGTGTGTGTGTGTGTGTGGGTGTGAGTCTCTCCTGGTTTCTCACATGTTCTCCTGGTTTCTCCAGTGTCTCTGTCGGCGCTCTGTGTTTCTGCGGAGCAGGAGGTGGAGAATCTCTCCGGACTTTCACCGAATCCCGACCGGGATATTTTCGTAGTGAGAGAAAACGGAACGACCTGCTTGATGGCGGAGTTTGCGGTGAAATTCCTGATTCCCTACGACGTTCTGGCACTGAACGGGATCGATGTGAGCTACTCTAAAATCCTAAATGAAGCATTCTGAGCTGGTCTAGTCCAAAACACAATCAACACGGATTCGGATTTGATCCTTTAGGAAGTTAAACAGAAATGCCATCATGATCCACACGACCCATCAGGATGCTTTAAACGTTTGAAAACTTTCATGAACAAACATGAGATGATGATCTGATGTGTGTGTGTGTGTGTGTGTGTGTGTGCAGCTGATCACGGAGCAGGCGTCCGTGTCTATCCCGCGTGGAGCTCAGATCGCTGGGAAATGCGGGAGCAGTGAGTCGGAGCTGCACATCTCGTGGCTCAATCTCGCATTCACATTCCGCATCTTCTTCTCAAAGGTGATCCGAGCAGAAACTGGTCCATCTGAATCCTTACAGCAGTTTTACCACTGCGCCCTAATGTGTGTGTGTGTGTGTGTGTGTGTCTGTGTCTCTGTGCGTGTGTGTGTGTGTGTGCAGGAGAAGCGCACCATGGGCAGTGATGGAAAAGCTAAAGAAACTGAAGTGTGGAAGATAAACAAGGTCCAGCTGGTCTACGACACTTCAGAGACGACACACTTCATTAGCGCTTATAATCGTGAGTCAAACAGCTTCATGTTCACAGGAAATCATCATAAGATCAGACAAACGTTCGTGATTGGCTACAGATTGAGATGAGTAAATAAATCATCATCATTAACAAATGTCGACTTGTTTTGTGATTTAACGCTCCAGTTTGCTGCGTTCACGTAAAATCACGTGCGTCACAGACTGCGTTTAACCTGCTGCTGGTTATTGAGTTATATTTGACTGAGCTTTGTTTTATCGTTCAAAATGAGCGTTTCTTGGTGTTTTGGCTTTGCTGAGACCAGGCCCGGATCCAGAATCAAATCACTTAGGGTGCTTCTTAAATTAGCGAGGGTGCTCTAACTATATATTAGTGGTGTCCATATGGTGCAAAGAGCGCTCTGTTCATAATCACTAAAAAAGCTGTCACTCATCTTAGTTCATCACGATCTCTCAAAGATACGTTATTATTATTCTCTACGCTGCACAACGAATCTCTTATTTACATTGCATCAACACTTTGTTATAATGAGATGATTCCTGCTGAACACAACACCTGAAAGAAAACCTCCGGCGATTTGAGCTGTGAGTGGATTCTAACTTAAACGCTTCTGATTCAAGAAATCAACAGATATGTCCGTGATTGGCTACATTGCTCAATGCTGCAAAAACACGTTGAAACAGAGATCGATCTCCAGTGCGCAAACCATAACGCACTGGATAGTTTGCCAAATCTGCAATAAAATGCCATCTATACAGCTTTAACTGAGGGTGCTATTAAGCGGTGCTGCAGCTCTGCAACATCCAGCGGCTTTATCCGTTCACACAGCAACCAGCTCTGTACTCTTTACCCGCTTCATGACGACTTAGAAATGCCATCACTGTAAGTGCAGCGTTCAAGTTTATTTGCATAACACTTTTCATATACATATCTCTCTCTCTCTCTCTCTCTCTGTGTGTGTGTGTGTGTGTGTGTGTGTGTGTCTCTCTGTGTGTCTCTCTGTGTGTGTGTGTGTGTGTGTGTGTGTGTGTCTCTGTGTCTGTGTGTGTGTG